GAGGTAATAGCTCCTGACATCCTGAGTCTTCCCTATCTGGTAGCCCCATCACAAATTGTGTTAATTGCATCAGATTGTATTAGATTGTACTGAAAGAGTTAACTTTACAGCTGCAACCCCCGAGCTATCTGTACAAAGCAAGAAGGGACTTTCCGTTGGTCATAAAACCACAGGATGTTCTGTTTCAGTGAGTTAGGCAAGATAAGTAACAGTTCCGGGAACACAGTGACCAGGCTAGAACCCCGGACACCATAGTTACCCAACCTTGGGCCTCTCCAATCAGCTTTTGCCAAGCCCTGCACTGTTCAAAACTAACCAATGCGATCTGCTTCTGTAACCCGCCTGCTTTGCGGTTTTCATCCTTAAAAACACCAGCCTTGCCCCAACTCAGGGTTCTCCATTTCCACCTGTTTGGAGGACCCCGTGTACACAGAATAATAAAAACCCCTTTGTTTTTACATGAGAGTGAGGCCCTTGGAGTCTTCCTTGCGACACCGGTCTAACACTATAGGGGACAGTACATCATTTACTGTAATTGGCATGTTATGTGCAGGTATTTCATAGACCACAAAGGAAATATTAAGCCTATTAATTAACAAGTATCAGTTTCAATAAATGTGCTCATAGCACTAAATCACTGACAACTGTGAATTTTTTTTTTGTATGAGAGATTGAACTCATGTCCTTGTGCACTCCAGGCAGCTTCTTTTATCTCTGAATTCAACACCCAGAATCAACAACTTTAGATACTAAATATGACTATTAACAATGTTTAATTTGCCATTGACATATTTAGTTATAAATTTTATAAACCTACATTTTCGCAAATGAAAAGATTTTATTTCCTTGCAGTTTAAATTACTTTTGTTTATAGGTACCAGCGATCAAAGTTACAACCTAGCACTTTCCAGGCAGACGTTTCTGCCTGCTGAGCTTAAATCCCTGGCCTGTATTAATGAATAGTTTTAAATGTATAAACATCACTTTATTCATTCAAATACTATTGTGATTTTAGCAAAGGATGCCAATGTAGACAGAAATTGATATACAATCAGAGAAGAACTGGAACCTCAAAGAGTCAATGCAAAAAACTAAACACAACAATCACTGCTACAGGCACAGCTGAAGAAAGCCAGAACTGAAGGTGAAGATGCAGTGACAATGTCTACATGCTCCTGAAGAGAAAAACAATAGTTTGAAATGTACTGCAGTTTCCACCACCTGTTCCAGGAAGTCCTCATAGGCCTCAATTACCATACTCAAAGACCAGAACAACTGGACTATTGTTCCCACAAAATGCCTTGGCTCTTTCCACATACCTTTTCGGGCTGACTTGTTCCCCTGCTGAATAATATTAGTTAAGCAGCTATAAGCTTATAGGTTGATTGTAGTCTGAGACCCACACTGTACCCACATTGGGACTTTACTGTATAACTGTTCTCTGACAATAGGTCTGTGGCCAAAACACTGAAGACCACTCCAGAAAATTCAGGGCTATTCTTCTCTCTTTTTTTCTAAGAAAATTTTGGAACTTCTTTTGGTTTGTGGCTTCGTTTCTCAATGTTGTGAGCCATTAAACTTGGTGCATTTGACATCAAACAGGGAAGAATTATATTTTTCTTATTTAAATTTAAATATGAAATTCTGCTAAAGGCCATGTTCCAAAGGCTGGATTTCAAGCTGCTTGTTTGTCATGAGTTTAACATTTCCATGAACTTTTAGAAGTCCTCAGTCTAGTGAACTACAAATGTATTGGGGGAAGGAGGTCACTGTTGTGCTGTAGCACAATAGGTGCCATTCCTAAATCTGTGTTTGTCACTGCCTCCTGGATGCCACTACATGGCCTTCCTTCTTCTGCAGCATCATTCAATAATTCCCATTTTGCATAAGTTAACTTTCACTCAGCTCCATAATTATTTTTTTAAATAGTCTTTCTGTCACCTTGTTTATTTTTTTCATTTTAGTTTTTTGATTTAAAGACATAGACTCACTTTGGAGTTCTGGCCAGCCTTGCAATCACTAGGTAGGTTGGCTCTTTGAATACATGGCCATTCTACTGTTTTAACCTCTTCATCTCTAGGGAAAAGAGGTGGGCATTATAACACATGGCATTTGTCTTTTTTCTCCTTTCCTTTTCAATATTATTCTTTCATTTCAGTGCCACTGTCATTTAATCCTGGTGTTTGCTTGTGTCAGTAAAGGTTTCTGCAGCTTGAGTTGAGTTTGTGAACAACAATATAGGAAGACAAGCAAACCAATTGAGAAATGTGAAATTTCATTAGCTGGTCTCAGGACCACTTGTATACAGAACCCCCATCCCCATTTCAGGATCTAAAGAAGAGGCTTTGAACTGGAAAGTTACAGACATTTTAAAAGATAGAATCACAAAAAGATCCTGTTGGAAATCATTGAGCTAGACTCTTATAATAATTTTTGGATGACAAATTTATTCTGCTTCTTTTGTTGAGCAGGTTAATTTTTTTCTTTGTGTATAGCTCATTTTGCTTTACTCCTTGGACTTCTACCCTGAGTGATTTTCCATTTCTCTGGGTGAAGTACAGGGCACTAGTTAAATGCAAAGCTCAACATGCCATCTACTATGCCAAGCTACAACACAGCTAAGTTACAAGCCTCAATATTTTCTAGGGTAAAAACACACATATCTATAATCCCAGCACTCCAGAAACTGAGGCAGGAGTGCTGCTTTGTGGTTAGGGCAACTCTGCACTCCATAAGGGGTTCAAATCTAGCTGATATACACAGAGAAAACCTGCCTCAATAAAACAAAGCTAAACTAAACAAATAAAACCAAAGAAAACAGTTGAATGGAGACTGATTTCTTCAAATCTTAATCCCATATCTTGGGGATTAATTTTTGTATATACATTTTTTGAGACAGCGATTTCATGCTATGTTGCAACTCACCACTACTGTAACAGCCAAATAGGAGCACTGATTCTTATGCTGAGTCACTGCAAGAGTTGGTGTGCATTGTCTCTAATGCAGAGCTCATAGTGAGAGCCTGCAGGACCAGCATCCATAAAGCACAGAGGCAGACAAGTATCTCATCCATCACTTTGATGGACTACAAATTATATCTCTTCAAATCTCAATTAGGCCACTGAGTCCTTTATTCTTAATATACTTAAGCAGCATTTTGATATTTGAATTTGGTTTCATAGAACAAAACATAAATAACATCAAATATGGTACATAAATTATAACACAAATGTTCATGGAAAACTGCTGTATGTAAAAAATGTATAAACAATGAAAGCAGGTGCAAGCTTCAAATTATACCTCAGTGTCAACAAGTGATCACTTTCCACTCAGATATAAGAAATATATCTTGGGAGGCTGATGCAGGAGAACTGTCTTGAGTTTGGGGCTAGCCTAAGTTACAGAGCTGCCTGAAATAGAGAAACCCTGATGGAGACACCCCACAGACAATGTGAAACTTGGAAAATGACTGCATAAGACACCTTTGCTTTAAAAAGTTATAGCCATACAATTAAGAAACATTCCACAATATTCAACATTTTCTGAGGAACAAGGTTGATATTATTCATAATATACAGAAAACACTTTCAGAGCTGGGTATTTAGCTAGCAGCTTGAAAACCTAACTTGCAAGCTTGAGAACATGAGTTCAATACTTGGTACAAAAAAAATTCAAATTTCACCTTCGTGATACTGAGTCATAATTCGAGATAATCAAAACTAGATTTCAAGTGAATAACACAGAATTCATGGGGTGACAGAGATGTGGAATACTGATTGTTACCAGAGCTGGTGTTATTCACCTTAAGGAAGATATCATGATTCAACTTTAACTTCATGCTTACCCTAAGTACTACCTGACTCAGTGAAGACCCTCTCTGTTGTATGTCCTGCTATTTGCACACTGTGTCCTGCTGGTCACTTCCACATCCTTTCCATGTTCCTCCGGTCCACCCTAAGCAGAAAACCCTTCATGCCTTAACTATTGATATACCTGCACAATTTCAATTTAGGGAATCTCTTTACACGAATTAGTAAAGTCAATTACAGAGCATTTCAATATTTAAACAATGTATATGATCAACCACGCTATTAAAGCAGCTCTTAATTCAGAGATGACACCCATATTCCTTTCCATTCAGAAGGATATCACATGTATATGTTCATGCAACTTAGGCATGTTCCTACATTTAGGCATTTTCCAGTGAGAATTTAACAGGCAGGCCTTTCTGGAATTTGTCCTTAGCAAGCACACCTTACCTGGCCCTTGAGGACACTTTTATATCTGCTTCATTTTTCTCAAAATTGAAACTTTTATGGCTGTTCTCACAAATATAGTCTATGAGCACGTGTCACAAATTATGTTGAAAAATTATTTTCACTGTTATTTATCATACACAGGAGTTCACCAGGTGTTTGAAAAGCCTTCCTCCACCGAAGCACATCACTGCACATCTCTGAATTTTCATAATCTTTGCCAACACCTGTCATGGGGTTGGAAATGCGAGAACATATGATAAATTTAGGCAATCCCTATAAATACAAAAAATTACAAGTTTAAGAAGTGCCATTGTGGATATGAGGCCCTGCATTACAAACATTTATAAACTTTAGAACATCAAGGTTGCTGATCCCTGGAATGAGAGCAGAGACCAAGCTCAGTACTGATGCTCCAGCTCCAAAATGCATCAGAGTCAGGGGCTTCCCAAGCTCCTTCCTCTGCTCTCTATGGTGAAGTTGTCAGGGCAGTAGAAAATTTCAAAGATGATACTCCAGTCTGTTGCTATCAGAGTTAATTCAGGGCTCTGGGGACACAGAATCATCCTTGCTCCCAGCAGAAGAAAAAAGGGAAAGTGGACGACCCAAGACCAATGCTAGAAGACCTCTGGAGCTGAAGCTAACTAAATACCTGAGTCTACACACACCAGAACTACTTCTCACCACTTGTAACTGTCTTCTCCCAATTCCACCCTATTTCTGGGCTCCCATCCAAAGCCTCACCATTCTGTGGCTTAGAGGGTCTCCCAGGTTCTTTGCTAATCAGGCCACAGGACATCGAAACCAGTAAATGAGATCCAGCAAGCATTCTGCTCCCAGTTTTGTATTCCAAACAGGTACACAATTTCTATACACCGGAAGAGACCCAAGAGACCTCCTCCCACAGCTCGCCTGATTGGACATTTCATATAGCCCGCCTCTTCATCACTGATTGACTGCTGCTCTACTGCCCTCCTTCTAAGTCAAAAATAAACAGGGAATGGAACTCCTTCCTGCAAGAGAGGATCCCAAATGATAGACAGTAGTCAGAGACTTCTGAAGCTGGTTGTCTTCACCAGTGTTGATCTCAGCTACACAGAGGAATATGTGTACCAAAGTGCCTTACCTCAGGCTTTTCATTTCCAAATTTTCATTTCAAGGATAAAAAGAAAAAATAATCTAAAACTAAATTTCAAGACATGTGAATCAGGGGGCAACACTGGTATATACATTGCACACTGTCATCCCCAGATCACTCACCCAGAGCACAAGACATCTGTATTCAATTTTCCTAAAAATACTAACATGTGGAGCTGAATTAGTTAATTATAATTAGCAATGAGACAGGGCTAGGTCCTCCTAGCAGCCCATCCAGAAACCCAGATACCTTGCAACTATGGAGAAGATGGGCAAATCCTGCTATGGGCTAAGCCTCAAGACAGAAGATCAACAAACTCATCCATATCCTAAGGACTGATATTCTAAATAGTTCCCTAGCCCTCTGAGGAAGGCAGGAGTCACCATTCAAAGAAATTTATCCTTATCCTAAAGACTGACATTCTAAATAGTTCCTATCATCCTGATGAACTAAGGAGTTACCCTCCCAAACCCCTAAGGGAAGATTCACTGCTGATTAAGAATGTCTGCTTTCTATGTGACTCCATTCCCCCTTTGTTCTCAATTTAATCAACTTTACCTGAACTATTTATCTTATTGGCTACCATAGCTCTGTCCCATCTTATGCCCATCTGCATTGTGAGTTCCCAGTTTTCCCCACCTTCAACCAATCTCACCACATGATTTTACTCTAAAAGTCCTTGGAAAAGACAGTCTTTGCCAACCCAGTTAGGACGCATTTGCTTTCTCTCACACAGCTTTCTTTCTCCCAATAATTATATTATCTTGACTTCTCTTTTTTCTAAAATTCATTTTTTGACTTCAGAGAACAGAAACTCATCCCAGACATAGTAGACCTGGAGTTTCATTACCCTATAGCAATAACAGTGTAAATTTTTCTTTTTCTTGAAGTCAGAGAATTAAGTAGATGCTTGTATTCTTAAATGTTGATCTCACCTCTTAAGGGACATTTGCATTGAAGGGCTTTATCCCTGACTTTTAGTGCTGCTTCTGTTTTCTGAAAGTGAACTGATCTGTAGTTTTGTTTATGCTATCTACAATGCATTAAGGAAATGTTTAGAAACTTTCCTTGTGAATTGTTTACCACTAACCATAGAAGAAGACACATAGCAAAAATTCTTTATTTTCATTTCTTAATTTAAACTGAAGGATGTACTTTAAAGAGTTTTGCTCTAGAATAAATTACAGGACATCGTGGTGGTAGTTCATCAGGGTGAAATGTCAAATCAGGGATGCTTACCCATATGGCTACTTCCTCGTTTTTCCCTGAATACAACTTCCTCATTCCTTTCCCAGGGGCCAAAAGAAAATTCCAATCAGCTCCTTACATGATGTCAATGTCAGTGCCATCACTACCAAATTTCATATATACCCTATAATCCCATAATCTGTCAGAAAAAAATGGAAAACCCTTGGTGGCTGTATGTTCCTCTCCACATTCTTTAAATAGAAAGGACACTGCTACTTTTTCTTATATTCTGTGAAAGGTTTTTGGCCCAGACAGGTCTCTGTATCCAGGAAAGCCTCAACAGAAAGCAAGAAGCCCCTATCTCCCCCGCCCCTAGGAATTTACCTATGATGCCACCTTTCAGCCCTGGAAATTTACCTATGGCGCCAAACCTAAGACCAATGGGCTACCTGTCCATCCCTAAAGTCCTCCTTAGGTTCCACCCCAGACTGAGGCTACTTACATACCCTCACCCCACGTGTCTGCCATAGAGATGACTGGACTCCAGCGTTGGGGGGGGTGCCAGTCATCTCTATCCTTGTTCTCAGAATAAAGGCTTCTTTTTGTTTTATACTTCTCATCTTTTGGAATATTTTTCATCTTTTGGAAATAATCCTATCATTCTGCTTCTCTATTGGGCCATGAAATCCTAATAGTACTGATTCTTGTCTATATATGAAGCTATTTTAACTTCTCAGTAATTGACATGCTCTATGCCATGAGTATCCAATGGAGATTAATGCAGTGCGCTTTTGCTTCACTCTATCAGTGTTAATGCAGTGAGTTTACTCCTAAGATAAAAATAAATCTTCATACAAGTTTCAAAACAGAATTATGCATCAAATTATAGCCAAGGTCCTAGATGCCTACAGACAGCTTTCAATAATATAATAGAAGCCTTCTAGAAACTGAAAATACAGTTTATCTAATTAAAAATTGTTCAAGCAAGCAATAATGTAGAAATATTTCTGAACAATTATAGATGAAACTTCTCTTTTATAAGATATAACCTAGGACCATGGCAAAGTCTAGGTCTTGCTAAATAAAACAATCAAAGCTATTATTTTACATTTATAATGATTGTTGTATACAATTTAAGATATTGCCAGGATTATAATCATTGTGAGTTATATTAATCACTTGAAACTGCAGGAAAAGAAAAAAATTTCAGACACTATAAAAGTATAGTCATGTTAATTTGGCTCATGTTAATGGTATAGGGGAATGAAACTCCTTACCTAGTATATATCTGGTATGAGTTTGTGTTCTCTAAAATTGAAGAATGAATTTTAGGAATGATGGAGTTTAAGAGTGGAATATATTTATTGGGAGAAGGAAAGCTTCTGTCTGAGAGAAGGGTCTCAGTGTGTTGCCAAAGACTTTGGAACAAATGGGAGAGCAAGTAATAATAAGTGGGCAGATTTCAGAGCAGAGAATCTTCTTGTAGAGGGTTGGGATGGTGACTCTTTTGTTCCTCAGGATGATCAGAGAACTATTTGGACTGTTGGTCCTTAGCACTTGGTTGTATTTTATTTACCTTTTGCTTTGAGATTTGGCCCACAGCAGGAGGTGATGGTCTCTTCCAATCCTGCAACCAATCTGAACTTATTTTCTGGCTTCTTTGAGGGGCAAGCCCTGATGTTATAGGCAGCTGAGTTAGTTAGAAATATAGAGCCAGGGGACAGGATCAGGTCCTAGATATGGCCAGCTCAGAAGCCCACATACCTTGCAGCTATGGGGAGACAGATACCTTCTGTGATGGGACAGGCCTCAAGAGAAAATACCAAGCAAATGCATCCACATCCTAAGAATTGATTTTCTAAATAGTTCCCTGTCACCCTGCTGAAGTCAGGAGTCACCCTCCCAGTCCCATAGAAGAGAGTTACTGCTCTGAAAATGCCTGCTTTCTATGACCTCACTTCCCCATTTGTCTGCAGTGTAAATGATTTTACAGTTTTGCCCTAGAAACAATTACAGGACCTCATGGTTGTAGTTCAAGGTGGAAGAATGTGAAATCAGGGATGCTTACTCCTAAGGCCACTTCCTCTTTTCTCCGTGAATACAACTTCCTCTTTCTTTCCCAGGGGCCTAAAGAAAATTCCCATCAGCTCCTTGCATGACATCAATGTCCCCTCCAAGCACCACATCCAGTCAAAAGTCACATATACCCCATAACCCCAGAGTCAGTCGGGGCGGGGGGGGGGGGAAGCTCAACCCTTGGTGGCTGTGGGCTCTCCACATTCTTTAAATAAAAGGCCACTTTTACATTTCTTATATTTTGCTTCTCTATTGTGCTAATTTACCTTTTTAGTAATCTCAGAAATCTAACCCACTTTAAACCTATCTCATCACATGATTTTATTCTATAAGGTCTCTAGAAAAGACAGAGTCTTTTGCTACAGGCTCAGAATTTCTCCTGTTTTTCTCAGATAGAAGCTTTCCAATAGGATTTTTGGTGTAGTAAAGAAGAGAATACAAAGTCAAAATGGCCTTTATTCTAAGAATATGGGGAGAACCCCATGATCACTGGGGGGTCTTGCTTTTTCTTCTGGAAGTATGTGGGCGGCATACATATAGTTTTTGACTTGGGTGGTGCTTAATTAAATATGGCATTGCTTATATGCAAGTAAGTGATTGAGATTCTTTTCTGGCCACAGGTAAGTTGAATAGGGAAAAGGAAAGTGACTTCAAGGTAAAAGTCCCCTGGTTCCACCTCCCAATTCCAAAATATCCTATTTAGAGCAAAACACTTTCACTTTCTATCTCTCAATAAATATATTCTGCTCTTCAACTCTGTTGTTCCTAAAATTCATTTTTGCACTTTAGAGAACACAAACTCATACCAGACACAGAAGTTCAGGAATTTCATTCCACTTTATCACGGTATGGTTGCCTGTATTTCTAACTAACTCAGCTGCCTGTAACTGTAAGAACTGTTAATCAATTTGACTTGGGGTAATTGTAGCAAATAAAATGTTCTTAATGAATATAGGGAAATAAATCATTAAACTGAAAAAAAAATGATTATCACAGTTTTGCTAGCTGGCAACATCCAACATTTTCAACTTTCAAGTATGTGGGAAAACAAAAAATAAAAACAACTCAGAAAATAGCAATCCTGTAGGGGACAATACATCATTTACTGTAATTGTCATGTTATGTGCAGGTATTTCATAGACCACAAAGGAAACATTAAGCCTATTAATTAATAAGTATCAGTTTCAATAAATGTACTTATAGTACTGCATCACTGACAACTGTGAATTTTTTTTTTGTATGAGAGATTGAACTCATGTCCTTGGGTGCTCCAGGCAGCTTCTTGTATCACTGAATTCAATCCCCAGAATCAACAACTTTAGATACTAAATATGCCTATTAACAATGTTTAATTTGCCATTGACATATTTAGTTATAAATTTTGTAAACCTACATTTTTGCAAATGAAATGATTTTATTTCCTTGCAGTTTAAATTACTTTTGTTTATAGGTACCGGTGATCAAAGTTACAACCTAGCACTTTCCA